GGGCCATGCGACCACGCAAGGACGCGACTGTCCTCCAACACTCCTTTTAGCCAGCATCTTCCACATCAGCGACTGTTTTCCAGGACGTCACGGCACGCCGGAACAGGATACGCCAGGCACTGCGGAGCGACTACCCGCAATCCGCCCTTCCATCATTACGGGAAGGAGCGACACGACACCTGGCCGCTAAAAGGATGTCTGAAGAGCACCGCATGAGCACGACGTGGCATACCCGCATCGATACATTGCGACGGTATCTGGGTAATTATCTCCAAATGACTCGGGAGGCAGAACGCACACGGGACAACGACGTCCGTGCCCTCCTTCGAGCGGAGTTCCCAGGAAACAAGGCCCCAAGCACACGTGAACATGGACCCTAGTTTTTATCTTCAAAAACATTCGTCTCTCTTTACAAGTCAACAATGAGACAACAAAACATCAACAGCAGTAACAACACCAGCATGCAATATACTCCATTGGCCACTCCATTTGAAAGACGCCACCCCCTCCTCAACATCGAGGCCGTCCGAGGATTGCCCACAGCGCATACGGCTGCCAGGGACTTCCTGGAGCGTGCGCTACGTTGTATGGCGGCCAACCTTTTTCGACGAGTTACGCACATCCCGAACCATCAAGAAGACACAGCTCTCGATGACGGACGTACGGAGAGCAGTCGAGATGAGAAGAGGTTCGAACGCGTACCGAACGGTTTTGGTCACCACTATTCTTAACGGGCAACAGCAACACAGCCACCGGCGGATTGCAGGAACTATGCACCCACCGACGAAAGTGGCATCGGCATAACCGCATCATAATTATACGACACCCGGCCATCGGGACGACTCTCGCCAATTCCAACAACGGATCAACAATGGCCGTCTCCCAGAAGGTTTTCACGGAGTGTTTCTGTTTGCGGACGCCGGGATGCAAGGACAACAATGCCTCTTTACCAAACGGTTGATCCTATTTTACATGGTCAATCTGTGGCTGTCGATGGTATTGGTTCAATGCACGTCTTTCTTCAGCACGTCTCCCAGAGTGACGAATTGCGTTATCACGGTGGAGGAGTAGTGGATGAGTATCGTGCGAATTAATCGTCAAGTAGTGCGACAGGTACGTGATATACGAAAGCATTTGTCAAATCAAACAGCAGCGAGCGGAACGAAAATTACTACTACGTAA